TTTTTTCAAAACCTTTAATGGTTGGCATATTTTAACAACAACCACTTTCTAAGCCATCCGTAAACACTCGTAAACTAATATCTTCATCTAGTTCTGGTCAGTGAATATGATAAGCATCCGGCAAAATACGATAATTTTTTAATTGCTTTAAAGTGGCTTTTCGCAGTCTAATAAACCAAGTAATGGGGATGCTCAATTTCCGTCCATCATCGAGCAAGGCCGTAATTTCTTGTTTGCTACACTCTAAATTTAAAACTCGGGGCTGAGTTTTATAAATCACTAACGACTCTTTTTGTTTATTTACTGTTTCTCTTAGTCTCATAATTATTAAATTATTTTACTCTAAACTCTGCTCAATTACTTTAAACCACTATCTTTGATAATAAATTCTTTTTCCAAAATATTATTCATCAATTAATTTTTACGCTTTTTGGTGTTGTATATAACTAATACCGCTAAAAAAACTATAACAATAATTACGATCGGGAGGAAGAGAACGTTAGTTAGTGCAAAATTACTTTTTTTAGTTTCAGATTTATTTTGGTTTGAGTCGGTTGGTGAATTCCCTCGCTGATCATGGTCGCTAGGAGCAACAGGAGATTTTTTAGTTAAATCATCCATTTTTAAATCCCATAACTGCTTATTTAAATCCTCTTTCTCCCTTTGCGAAGAAGGGTTATCGGTTCCTCCTGAATTTTCTAGGTCGCGGAGTTTATTTTGCAACTCTTCTACCTTTTTATCGATTTCCTTTTTTTCTCGTGAAAGGTCAGAATCTTTGTTTCAATCGAACTTAAATTGGTTCTCGGCTTCCTTGGCTTTTTCCTCTTGCACTTCTTGTAGTTTTTCAGCTTGGCGGTCTTGGTTATTTTTATCAGTTTTTTTCTTTTGTTGTTTCTCTCTTTCTTTTTTGGCTTGCTCCTGTTTTTCTTGGGTCGTTTCGCGGGCTATTCTTTCTTTTTCCTTTCGTGCTTCTTCACTAATATTAGCAAGGGTTTGAATTAAATCGTTTATTTGCTTCTCACAACCACTTAGTTGTTGGCTATCTCGACATTCATAAACCGCTTTTTCTCAGAAGTCAAATTCCAGCATCACCCCTTTATTTTGAGCTTCTCGTTTGGCTTTGGCAATAATTTCTTTGCGTCGCTGGTTAAAATTTCCCACACTTCTTTCCACTATCTTCACAACTTGGTCTTTGAATTCAATCACCCGTTCCTCTCAGTCTAGGCAGTAAGTTAGATGGTCTCAGTAATATTCCGCCTGCTCATTTGGAGAATCTCCACAAAAACAATATTGCGGTTGTAAATCAAAATATTCTCCATCTGCGAAAACCTCAGCAATTTCCATCTTGGCCTCCTCTATCTTATTCTTTATTTCCTGCCGAGCAGCACGACAAACATTTCTGAAATTATTATATTTTTCCTCTACTGTTCTTTTCTCACTCTGTCAAATTTCTTTTCATTCAGTTGAATGACGATAATTACTATCACCAAAAATCCAACCTAAACATTCGGTAGTGGTGCTAGTTCAATTTTCTTTTTGGTTATCAAGCGTTAGTTTTATCAACTCCCCTCCGCTATGGCGAGCCTGCTGATAAATATGATCTTTCCTAACTGAAAATCATCAGCCATAATTGGCTGAACCAAAACTTTGTTTATTTTTGTGAGGGTCAAGCGACAGTTGAGCCTCAATAATGGCCGGAGTAGAGGAAATATTATCTTTTTTTTTTTTTTTTTGCGAAATAATTTCCCCTAATTTTTGCTTTAATTCAGAAGAAACAATGCTATATTTTTTGCCTGAAATTTCCTTGTAAATAGGTTCTAAATCACCTTGACTAAAAATAAATCACTCTGAATTAGCATTAAATTCTTGGATTTTCTTTTTTAATTTTTCATTAGTTCCGATAAACATATCTTTAATTTTTATTTTCTATTGTTAATTTTTGAACTGTTTTTTGTTAAACTATTTTTATATTATAATTTTACGAACTTAATAATTAAGTATTAAACTGTTTTTCTACTTTCCTAAACAAAACTTACTGAAAATAATATCCAATAAATCATTATTATACTCCTTGCCGCTTAATTCTTTGACTAATTTATAACTGGTTTCTAAATCACTACACAAAGCATCTAAATAAGTTTCTTTTTTTAACTCTTTAATTATCGTTGCTAATTGCTGGATAAGGGTGGATAATTTGGCTTGCTGCCAACTTTGACTTAAATAAGGGTAAGCGGATAAATTGTTAATTAAATCACTGGCAAATAATTCATTAATTTTAGTTTCTAATTCAGTCAACTGCTTATTTTTGGCACTAATTTTTAAGGTTTTTTCTTG